ATATATAATTGCAATCGATCTTCCTTCGATTTCCACAAGAAATAGTCACTTACTTACTGCAGTAATTTACATATGTTCCCTTACATTAGGTTTGTATTTCAACATTTTTGCAACATCAATTTAACATGTCTTTTTTTCATCCGGCACGTACTACCGCTTACAGCGTTTGCACGTTATTGAAACCCTTATCCCCTGTACAAGACTACTTATAATCCCATGACTAACTGATGCGAGTGTTGAACCCAATGGCGTGCGGTAGAACTCAAGTGGAAGTCGTGGCAAAGATTATCGCAAAATCGTAATTTATGAGAGCATCAAGATGCGCCAAAGGCTTTGATCAGTTGCCCTGCTCTTGACGAGCCCAAGCAAAAATGTCTGCCATTTTTATCTTATCGTGTTAAAGTTTGTGGTTAAAGTAGAATAAAAGCGCTAACAAAAAACGGATTTCATGTGGCGACCTCATCCTGTGTAAACGAATGAACCCGACAGCATATAAAATGTTTAAAGATAAAAACGATTTTTTTTAGAAATGGTCCGAAATCTCTGAGAGCATTAGGTCGTCAAATATGGAATGCTCCTGGGCTAATTCGAAGAAAAATACATTTTAGCATTGCGATTCTAAAAAAATACGGTTCTGTCTCCGTAGTCGTCAAACAATGACGCCATCTGAGCGACTGCTGTACATATATAGCCTTTGAACTCCTGTGTGAAGTATACCATAATCAATACGATTCAGTAATCCCTTTATAATTCCCCGTTTATGAAGCGGTGGTGAGGTCGCTTCTGGATACATCAACACAAGGACCCGCATTCCCAAAGTGTGCTTTACCTTTAGGATTCTGGAAGCTGTTGCTATTAATATATAGAAGTTTGTTTTTCGACGCTGGACCTCTCACGGTTCGTCTGTCTAACGTTCGTCCCAATACGGCCGAAAGGGTACAAGCGATCGCTGAAGATCTCGGCAAGTGTTTGATACCGATCTTCCATTGAAGGGCTTGCCTTCAAATCAGATGACCAATTGAGCGCTGTAAAATGCTTAACATTGATCTCACCGACGATGCTGAAAGGAGCTAGACGGTAGAATACGAGATCGAGTTAAAAATAATAAGCACCAAGCATTCAGAATGAAAGAGCTGAGCAAGCTGAGTGTTTTAGTGAATCCTTGATTAATGATAGATTCCTGAATTAATGTGATTGAAAGCAAGAAAGACACTTAGCTTAGTAAGAGAGAGATTTACTTATTCAGCGTATAAAAACGAGTAACTTGCGTCTCTTGCATTGCATCGAAGTGCGCCGTCAACAAACTCAAAATCAAAAAAGGGCATTCTACTCGGGAAAAAAATGCTCGGCCTGTAAATGAATACACCATTGTGATATTGTTGCCGCACAAGAAATGCTTGGCGTGGGGAGGAGCTATGTCATATACCTCTGACACCCAACAGAGCGCAGTTAAACAGGAACACGCAGACTTTAAGAAAACACGAATTTATACTGATCTGACAAAGCAATCGTATTTGATCAAAGTACAAGTGTGACTTTGGATTTTTTTAAGTCGAGGGTTAGGTCAATTGCTCAGAGATACTGAGACACGCCCTGAAGCCATTAGCGGGCAAAACGAAGTAAAACTATGTGTGGTTCCGATAACTGAAGTCCTTAGCAGTGTTAAGGGTAAGTGTGACGGTGTTAGGATTTAAATAATGATGGGGTACACATTTATTATTATGATTATTCATAATGGTAAAAATACTAATAATATTTTCGCAGTCTTGTCACGCTCAACAGCGCCGTCATCAGTGGCGAGCGTTGGTGGCTTTTACAGGCCAAGGCAAAATCTACTGGCGAAAGTTGTTCGAAATAGACTCATGTAGTCAGTGTCACGCAGAGTTTTAATCATCCTATATCCGCCCTAATCTTTCGCGTACTGTATTACTAAGTTGTCTGTAAAAACTACCACCATCAAAAACAATTCGATTCAGATGCACCGAGGCGTATCCATCACTCCAGTATTGAAGGAGCTCCCTGTGGCTCAAGTTGGCCGACTGGTATTATCCCCACTGAGCAGAACAGCGCGCCACAACGCTACCGGCCATGTTCGGTTTTCGCGCTGCTGAAGCTGTAACCCAGTGACTGCTGTGGCGGCGACGACGACGACGACGACTCTGATTGCTTTTGCTACTTCTGCTGTCTGTATCTAAGGCTGTTCCTCTCTATCTATTCTTGTTCTTTCTGCTGTTGTCGCCGCCGTCAACGGCGCTGCTGGTATTCACACATTTCTCTATCTGTCTGTTCGTCTGTGTCATTCTGCGATTGGAGTATGGCGTAGCTAAGCGCATTCCACAGCGGTCACGTGATCGCCGGCCCGAGGAATGTGAGCAATTTGCTGTTATGCCGCTTTCGTCGTGGCGGTCTCTCTTTAGGCTGGCGTGACGCTGTTTCTGTATCTGGTGGAAGCGTCAGTCAGCGGCTGGTTCGGTACCGATTAGGACAATCGGTAGATGCGGCGGGGATGAGGAGCCGACACGATAGCTACTATTGCTCTCTCTCTCTCTCTCTCTCACACACACACACTCGCTCTCGCTCGTTCTCTCCAGATCGTCGCTTGCAGACGATCAAACGCAAGACGAGTAATTAAACAAGCGCCAGCGCCAATTGGGACCGCTGCCATTGCCAATTAAAGTGGTTGAACAACGAGTTGATTTCTGCTGTTACCCGGCCCCCTCTCACCCGTTGCGCCTTCGATGCTGGTGTTATATGGCGGAGTGGCCGGTGCTGAAGACACGCGCGCGCGCGTGCGCGCGCCTCTCCAGCACACGCTGTTTTTTGGCTGACTTAGCCACTGTGAGTGTAACTCATGACGTTACGGAAGGTAGGCTCGCTCGCTATATCCAACTTTGTCAATTAAATTACTGGGGCATATCGGTCGGTCGCTCGCTATAACTTAAGTTCACGCGATAACTGTAGCTGATCGTTTGTACGTACGGAGTGGGGTTCTTCTGAATTCGCCCGTTTTGCATATTCACTCCTGTTTTCGTTCTATTACTTTTCCTTTTGTTTTATTCCCTTTTCGAGTTTCTTCTACGTGTCCACTCTACATCTGCCATTCGTATCGGCGCTGGTGCTCCTCTATCTGCGCCCGGAGCTGTGCGACGTCCAACAGTTTCTTGTCTGAAAGTAGTTGTTTCAAGCTTACGTCTGGCAATGCCGTTAAGCATTCCATCGAATGGATGGGTCCCATATGTTTACGTCCGAACAGCCCAGACCACCACGTGTTCCTAACGTTAACAGCCGAATTTGTGGCCCACTAGGCTGCCACGGGAACCTTCTGCCCAGTGCCTGAAAGCCACTTGGTAGAAGCAGCAGTAGCAACGACGACGATGTCGTCGTCGTCGTCGTCTGCTTCTGGATGCAGTTCCCGTTCCGCCTCATTGACTTTCATCGCCAGTCTCCGTCGCCTTGTAGCGGCGGCGGCGTTAACGCGATTTGCTGCTGGTGGCTGCTCTTCCTGGTATAGGTCGCTTGAATGGCTGCTGTTCGCCCATCCATTTGTCGCTCCAGCTGGCCGTTGTCGTTATTAGGTTAGTCGGGGGGGGGGGGGGTAACTATCGCCCACTGCAGTTGGTCAGCTTCACGGGCTTCTCTCCTACACAATGTAATCATCATTACGAAACGCTACCGTATCAAGACAACAGCAGTGCACCTGCTACTCCTCCATTCGATTGTCGGCGCCGGGTTGGGGGTTACTGGAGAGTTGCTGGTTGTTTCCCACTCTCAACGTTCTCTCTCCTTCTCTTCTCGCTGGTCCCTTCTACTTCTGCTGGTGCTGGAGTTGTTATTCCGTCATGGTCGAATGTGTGCTTATGTCTGTCTGTATCTGAGTGAGACCGTCTAGCGAACGCTGATGATGGTGGCAGCGGCGCCGCCGCCACGGACGATGCTCCTTGTATAGCCTTCTTTGCTTAGCGGAGCAACAACAGCCAACGAGTGACGCTCACCCTGATCATTCTCACTCGATTTGTTGTTGCTACTACTGCTGCTGCTGCTGCTGCTGCCGCCGCCTCCGCCGCCGCGCCCTGTTGCAGAGTACTGAAGCGGTCGTGGCTACATTCCTTCCTTTTTGTCTTCGTCTGCTGCTGCTAGCGACACGGCCGCCGCCGCCACCACCATCACTGGTGCTTGCCTCTCTCAATGAGTGAGTGAGTGTGTGTCTGTGTGTTTGTGTTGTTATTGCTGGCTGGCTGGCACTGGTAGTGGTGGCGGTGGCGGCGGCGGCTGCTGCTGCTGCTGCTGCTGCTGCTGCTAGCTCTCTATTGATGGATTGCCGTGGTGCGGCGTTCTGCTAGCGCACTGCTGTTGTCTGCATAGGGATGTTGTCGGCGGATGGCGATATACGTACATCGATGTAATGCTAATGAACAATGATCATCGCTGCCACAAGCCCCTCCTCCGCCGCTGGTGTCTGCCTGGGTTGTGCTGTGTTATGGTCTTGCTGTGCTGTGTTGTGCCGTGCTGCGCGCTGCTGGAGGTGCAGCATTTTCTGCTGTTAGCCCAGTGTAGTGCTGCTGGTATTCTTACAGCAGTTATCGGGTAAGCAGATACGGTCTTCTTTGCTGCTGCTGCTGCTGCTGTTCGACGAGAAACAGCAGCACCGGGTCGTAACAGCAACAAACCGAGAGCCCCGCTGTGGGTTGCTTGTTGTTAACTCAGTTGATGGCGCTACTGCTGTGAACGTTGCTGTGGATGCGGTACTGAAGTCCGTACAACGGCGGACGACGTCCCGATGGCTTCTTCGTCCGCTGCTACTGCGGCCCCGCCGCTCCGGTTGTTAGTTGCTTTTGCTGTTCGAGTTGCTGTTGGCTATTCGATTGCTTAGGAATAGGTGACACCAAAATACGTGCTGTTGTAACAGGTATTGCTGTGGCTTCGCTGCTGCGGTCGCTCCGAAGAGTTCTGCTGCTGTGGGTTGAGTCGCAGCAGATAATGTGACGGGAAAGACGAGGGACGACAACCACCACAGCAGAATTGTAGTGCGAGCACAGAGAGGCAGCAGTAGACCGTTTACCAAGGGGAAAAATGTGTTTTTTCTTGGTTTTTTGATTAGGCAAACACCTTTTCCTGGAATAATAACGGTGATCGTGACTGTTACACGCAAGTGTCTTTATTGACAACAGAGTGGGGCTGGTGCCGACGTGTTGTGAGATGCCGCCGTGAACTCAGCCAACGGCAAATAAAACAATCAAAAAACAAAAAATTTAGACATTCGGATTCTGTACTACTACTTCACTGCTTGGAAATAACGATTGGCAGGTTTACTGATGCCGATCACAGTGATGGCGGTCTATAGGTGATCAAGCGTTCTGCATAGTGTGCTAGAGTCCTGCAAGAAGTTGTTGACATTCATCGACACGAAGATTCCTCTTCCATCTTAAGCAATTCGGTCGAAGGCAAGAGTCGAGACGATAGACGCCATTAAGTCTGTGTTCGCTTTCCATCTGTCGTATTCTCAACGAAAAGATATAATGCGAGTCCGTTTATTTGGTACTCTTGCTTTTCCCTAATGGGTCACTGCTGTCCACTGTTTCAGATGCTTCAGATATAGAGGCTGTGTGAAGTTAAACAAGCGGTAACAACACCCTGTTTGTGGTTGAATTAAACGTATCACCTATATAATAATTTTCAGTTCTTAACAGCTGTGGACCGGCCGTATGAAGCGTATGAAAATAGACGGATCTGTCCAGCGCAACACTTCCCAGCGACGCAAGTTGCACTGCCTGTAGCCACTGGTTAGTCCATAGCTAATTAAGCCATCGCACCCTGACACTTAGTCACCCAACGAACGTAGTTGAGCTGGGGAGCTGATTGTTAAACGGGTCGGTAGTACGTAGCATTCGATTGCGTACCATATCGTGTCTTTTATCAGCGTGCCGAACCGGACGAATAGCGTCGAACAAATGTACCTGCCGCCGCAGCAACAGTATTTCAACAGTTTTCTTACTTTCTGGCACAGGGAAAGCTCAACATGAATATAATCGTAGTGAAGTTACGGACAGTAACGGTAGTGGTCAACAATCACCGTTACTACCGTCGCCGTCATTAACTTTGGTGCTGTTGTGAATGTACAGCAGTGTGTACATAGACTCGATTTGTGTATTTGTCTTTGTGTGTGTGCGTGTGCGTGTGTGTGTGTGTGTGTGTGTGTGTGTGTGCGTGTGGTTGTGATGAACAAGACGATTAGAAATAGTCTGTTGACAGGAAACATCGTCAAGTGAAGTTCGCATACGAATTACGCCAAATTAGCGTAGCAAACTTGTTGCCCCATTGCTGTTCGTCACCATTCGACCAGTTAAGCTTTACGGCTGTCATCCGATGATACAGTCCTATTACGGCGTCTACAGGTAGTCGGTCGTTTGCGTCACAACGAGCCTTTTACTCGTGTTTCGTTCATGTCACACATTTCGTGTGTTGTGCAGTGCTGTGATTTTGATGATTACCGCTGAGTTCGAACGATCCAATTCAGAATCGTGACTAAACATAGCGCTTTGAATCTACCAGCTGTCTCCGCTGTGGTGTTTTGTGGTACACGTAGTTTTACCTGGGAGCCTGTGTCCGTCCGTATGATAACAACGCTAGTAACGTCCGTTGAATCTTAGACTCGTTACTCACGCCGTCTGTCGCTCTGCAGATAACAATTAGTAGAGGTGAAACCAAACAGCTATTGCCACATCTACTTCTACAACTCGTATTTGTGCACTCGAAGCGCGTCCCCTGCAGCATTTAGCAACCAATAGCGATTTTCCAGGTCAACGAGCCAATTACTTCTACCAGCCGGAGCTACTGTGGCGACATTAGAACGACCAGCTGATGGCTGATCTAGCAGAGATCCGAGTGCAAGGAGGTAACGCCCCCATCGTCGATCCTACAACAACGCGAGCAGCTACTACTGACAATTCCATCGTATTGTGCTAACAATAGATTGAGTTGCGTATGCGTAAATGCAACACCAAAACAATTTAGTCGTCAGCAACGGCGACCATTATACCCCTGCGGTGCGACGAGACCAACAAATTCCACGTATATATATAACCCTGTCCGCTCGTCGTTCAACCAGTCGATCTGGGTCGAGCGATTAATGGGCGCCGTTAGTTGCGCAGCACTAGAATGTTTGGAGATCAACGCTAGCACAAACCTCCTTGTCGGATCTCCACCCTGCCTGTCTGTGTTTTTGTGCGCGCGCGTTTGAGACCATCCGTAGTATCTGCTACCGGTATCATCAGTTTAACGCATGCGTGCGTCCGGTTCGCTGATAGCTTGATTAGTTAACTGTGTACGCGTTGTGTTGTGTAAATTGTAAAGTCGCCGCGATTCCTACCTCAATGAGGAGAAGGCACACCGCAGAACCATTATCCAGGACGGTTTCTGCCGTTGTGTAAACATTGTGACTTTTCTAAGTACATATACAATAGAAGGATATCGTATATACAATACATGTCTGTAATGCGGTCATGGCCCTCCAGGACGGAGGCTGGAATAGACCTCACCTGATCGCTGCCATAGCTACCATCGTAGCACCTATCTATTCAGAACGACCGAAAGGACCTAATCGCTGCTGCTATTTGGACAGACGTATCCAAGAGGTATGTATAATCCATAAGAGTATTTTAGAGAGTAGAATAAGATCTCGACAATAAAGGCATTTAGAGATACGAAATTAACGAAAGTATCAGCATAGCTTCTTGAGCCATTGTTTAATCGGACTCGGCTAAGTATGAATTGAAAGTATTTTTTCTTTGACGGGATGTAATATATTGGTGGTTTGCATTGCTTAGCTACTGTTGGTGCTCCGGAAATTAAGTTTCATTGTATTTGGCGTCAACTAAGTGTTGTTTTCCTATCCAGACTACTTGTTCTAAAGGTTGTCATGGAAAGCTCAATAAATGCAGTTTAATTTTTACCTGGTTTTGTTAGCATAGCTGAACACCCCGAAACAGGGCGCGTATTCCAGCATGTGAACATCAATAAGAAGTAAAAAAACAATTAATTTGTGCTGAATCTTGATTTGTTATAGCTGTTTTTACTTCTTGACGATGAGATCAATTCTGTCTCGAGAGAGAGAAAGAGCGAGAGCAGGGAGAGCGAGAATTGGCCTAAAAATGTATATATATATATATATATATATATATATATATATATATATATATATATATAGTATATATTAAACTCGAGTCTCAAGAATGAGATAACTCACTAGACAGGCTGTGTAAATAACGAAAGTTATTACTATTACAATATAATAATTCATAAAAAAAAGCAAATTTTTCGAGGAAGGTCCTATAGCGCAGTGGGTCGAGTCCCTTCAGAATCGCTGGTGTATCAGCCAGAACCCCCTGAATTCGAAGAGAACGAAATTTACTTTGTTCGTTTTCGTCAATACACGCAAGCCATGCATAGACCCAGTGTGCAGACACGTTACACGGCGCTTGAGAAACATACAAGCCCCAAGTGCTACAGCCCGTTGAGCGCTTTGTCGGGGCGCTGCTCGCTCATTCTCCGCTATGGCCGGGGCTATCGCTGGCAACTCTTCGACCAGACGGCACGGACCAACAACCAGCAATGAATAGCCTTCAGCCGCCGGTGAATATCAGCTTCGAAATACGACGAGGCATCGAGCTGCGATACGATCGACAGCGAACGAACGGCTATGCAGGGATCTGCAGTTAAAGTAACTGTTTTGACTATCTTCGTCGCCTGCATCTCAACGAGCTGGCCCGCAGCAACAGGCAAGATGGCGCCCGTCTGCTGGCCAGTGCCATTGCTGGCGAATGCTGGTTGAGGGGTGGGCCGAAAAAATATGCTGTTACCATTGCTACTGCTGTGTCCGTCGCTAATGCTATTGGTTTGAGCAAGAGTTCGGCAGGGGCGACATCGAAACAAAATGAAGCGAGAAAAATATAAAAACTTTGTTTTATTGTTGTTTACCCTGTAAATCTGTGCATGTACACCAGCCAGCCGGTCGCATTAAGTGCGTATGGATTCAGTTGACGAAAGGCAAATAGAAAAAAAGTCCTCTGTGCGCTTCTCTCCGGTGGATCACCAGCAACATTTCCTAGTTCGTGCCCAGTGGCTACAGAGAACGACTTCGGATTGATATAATAATGACGCGTATCCTTTCTCCTACAGCTCAATCAGTGAGTGCGTTGATTACGCATATGTGACATTAGTCAAATTGGGGTCTGGTATCCCGCAGGGCCACTTGATTAGAGAATGTCCAATGTCTGTCGATCTGGCCGCTGGCGTGTTGGGCCAGGCCATGCTCGTCTCAAAGGAAAGCGAAGGCCTAAGTGTGATGGCGAAGTTACTGCCACTAGCAGCCGTGGTGCCATCAACGACTGACGGCCAGGCCGATATCCAATATGGCGCCTCATTATTTTTGAATGCAGTGTGTGTGCGTGTGAGTGTGTGTTTGTGTGTGTGAATCGCTTTGTCCAACACGTGTAGATCTCTCCGTTACAGTGCTCTATAGTTGACAACAGCTGCTGCTAGTGATGTTGCTGGCATTCAGCGCTATGCCTATCAGCGTTAGGGGCTGGTGGAGTTATGCCCATGAAATAGTTTGGCTTGGGAACGTTTTCTACGTGCGCTAATAATTAGAATCCATGAGGAATTCCTGTCCGATCGATGAATGGCTATATCTATATAATGTAGATACGTAGAAAATAACTGCACGCAGTGACGCTGTTGTTTTGCTATTTTTAGAATGTGTCTCGTGCGGATTTTACGACTTTTCGAAGGCGGAAAATTATTGTCAATCAATATAATACGCTGGTGTATAGATTGTTAAGAGATAATAAACATGTGATTTTTTTAGGGAACTCAAAATGCTTTTTATATCAGGGATGGTATGTAATGAGTTTCCAGCCAGGCTTTATCAACACTGTTGACCGTGCGTTGAACTTCGCTTCCAGTGTCTCACACCGAACACATTGTTGAAATAAAGTCCGACTAGATATATATAGCGTATTGTCAACTTAAAAGGAACTTAACAGTATGTGGGCGACTGAGGAAAATCGTGCACGAGTCTCAATTCTAGTGGAGGGCTTAGGAACTCGATGGTTCCTTTAAGGCCCCTTTGGTGATCACAGACAAACCCTGGAATTTTCCCGTTGAGTGATCTGCAAAATATAGTTTAAACCACTAGTCAATCTCTAGATAGAGTAAATCAGTAACTACCATTCGTTAGATTAAAGTCCAGAATACCAAACTGTTTTCGATGTCATATGGTGTACGTAATTCGGCGCCATATCGAGATTTTCTCGTTTTTCTTGCATTTTTGTCCGGCTGTACCAGGATGATGTCTTGAGAGAAACAGATTGAGCAGAAGGAGTGAACGAATCGCAAATTATTCTGCGAGCCACATACGACTGGTCCCAATATCAACCCTGGAAATGTATCGCCTCTTTGCACTCTGAAAGGGACGAAGCTCGTCGTAATTACTCTAGATAAATGGCATGAAACAAGAACAAGCAACGTTCAGACACTGTTAAAAAGGTTGCTCATCGGACACAATGTTAATAAATCTCTTCTATTTACGGAGTAGTATGGACGCAGTCGTTTATGTGGGGGTGGTCCTGGATGACTCTGGGTGCCATGACGCCCTTGTTTGACTCAGAGCGTGTTTGCGCCAGTATGTTCTACTCGTAAATTTAAATCGTCGACTTCACTCTCCTCAGTAAACGAGTTATCTGCAGTCATAGTGCTCCGAGGGCTGGATCGGCTGGCAGCTGGGTGGCGGTTCTGTTATTATTGGATTTCATTAAATGCCCTCCGCATATCTATGCGGCTTTGAATGCTATTTTCTGCTAAAAGTGCTACCGAGTACCAATCTCGGTTAAGGCTGCGCCGTATTCAGCTCGAGTGGTTTTTCGATTCAACTGTTTGACACTCCCGTGTGTCGTCCGGTGTCGGCCAGTTGCTCACGACCGACGAGTGGCGCGGCCGTTGTCGTCGCCATTGGCTAGCGGGCGATGGCATTAACAGCATCAAATCCGCTTTACGGGCGATAATGAACGTGCTGTATAATTTAATGACTGTTTTTATACGAGAACTGTGTACGGGGCTATCATGTTATGAGCGGATGTGTTTCTGGTTAACAAAATGTCTAGCTCTGCAGAGATGGTGCAATACTGTGATAGGAACTAAATATCTGTGAGTAAAGAGATGGATTTTATTTGTGCGCCGGTTTACGTTGAATAGTTTGCTGGTATCGAGTTGGTACGGCGTACGGGTGACAATGGAGTCATTACGTTCGTCTGTTGACTGTGCATCGAGATTCTCTCCGAGGACGTATGTCTATTGGTGTAGAGAGCGCACGTCATGGGCGAATGCTATTGCTATCTACCGACTATTTCGGCCCTTGCTGCTTGTTGTGACTTGTTTCTGTGTTACGATAATATTAAACACTGAATATGCGTCTCCTACCTACGGGTTGAGCACTTCATTTATACATTCGACACTAGCATGGTAAGCCTATTTCGTATAGGCTGCGCGTGGGGCTCCGCTCGAGCGGTTGGAGTCGTTTCCATTGAGACGGCTACTCACAAATTTCAATTTGTGTATTAGGGTTCACTCCGAACCCCCAAAACAAACTTAAATGTAGCGGGTAAACGCTTACAACCACTGCGCCGTTACCGATCAAAACATTGTTTAAACAGCGGCTAACTTTTGGCTTCACGAATTACTGCTCAATCTCAAGAGTACCTGAAAGCAGAATAAATGGAAAAATCCAAATGAGTTTATCATCAATAATTATTATGATGTTCTTTCGGTGTTAACGAGCGCCTTTCTTACGTCTCATTCGATATTCTTCCAAGTGCGTTTACTCATAAGTCGATCGATTGCTTGTGAAGAGTTGGAGGTTCAGCGCTAATATGTTTCGATTTAAGGGTCGGCAGAGTGGGCAGCTGCACGAAATTTCGAGTGTTTTTTTTTCTCGCCGATGTGCATGTCTCTTTTTTTTTGTAGTTATATCAACATATTACTTCGTGACATGATTCATTGTGGACTGTATTTATGCATACAATGAACTCATCACTGTAACTTCCTGGTTTGTGTCTTCACTGCATTCAAGTGGTACGGACTTAGACGACAAGTGACATACTGGATCAAGTGGCATCTCTGAACATTTGTCATCTTAACATTTGCTGTAGAACGACAGTTAAGTTTATGCAACTTATTATCTTCACTGGTCACAAACGACGTAAAATTCAAGTGTTATTAAATTAACGCGCTGCAGCTCGGACAGCTTCTGTCGATCGCTCCTGATGTCCACAAAAAAGCACGTCCAATTGAGATGAGATGAAAGTAACAACGAAAGCAGCTATAATGGAAGACAACGAGCAACATTCAAAACGATTTCTGTCAGAAGTGGACGGTATTAAAAATAGCTATAGTTCAATTTTTTAAATTTATAATTCCTTTTTTGGCGGCTCGGAAGAAATCAATAGACGATTGCTGATACGAGAAGTACAATGCTATAGATTTTAACTCTAGCTATATATATCATATGTCTTTGCTGTATGAAATTCCATACCCTATGATCTCCTTTGATCGTACTTTTTTTTTGAGGCCATTGTCTCCTTGTATGTTTCGATAGCGGTTGGTATTTTCGATCGCTATTTAGAATGCACAAGAGGATAATGCCATACAACCTTCATAGTCTGCGTACGAATATGCCCAAATAAAGCTCGATTTTAAATAAAAGTTTTTTTTAGGGTATTTTTCACTATTGTTAATCGGATTAGAGAAAAACCTATCCCGTAATTCGTGAACGTTTTGCTGTTATAAGGACTCTTCTTTCGGTTTGCCTCGCTCTCGATACTCTTGATTGCTGTCAGGTTTTTATTGTCGTCGTCGTCGTTGCTGTTGTTGTTGCTGCTGCTGTTGCTGTTGCTGCTGCTGCTGTTGTTGTTGTTGTTGTTGTTGTTGCTGCTGCTGCTGCTGCTGCTGCTGGTATTCCCATATCAATATAAATATTGGCAGCGACTATACGTGGGCATTGTTTTCCGGTACAGAACTTGTATCGAGATTATGGAATGCCCTTGTCTAATCTATATTGTCATATAATGCCACGCCTGTGAATGGACAAAGGAAAATAGCATTTGTGCGGGGCTGTTATTTCTACGCTTCAAACGGCGGACCAAATTATAAGCTGCTGTTATTTTTATTTTCTCTGACAAGAACCGTTTGGTCGTGCTAACTCACACCTCGAAAACAGTCCTTACCGATGGACACTATGATCATTGTTATTGTTGTTTTTGATTTTCTGGTTCTATTAGTAAATAGGTCAGTTAGGCCAAAGAATCGGGAGCTATCGAAGAAATGTTTACCCACAACTAGTTGGATAATCTTAAAAACGTTTGACTTAAAACAAATGAGAGAGAAAATGCTAGTCAATGCCATCATAACATTTGCCTTGTGTCTGGCATGTGAAATCACATTTTTGCACAGCCAGGAAGGACTTGCCTGAATAGATCTTTTTCGATTATAATCAACGGTGAATTTTCGAAATAATGTGACGTACCGATTAGTGCAGGGCATATTGTTTATGCTTTTCTCGCATTTGAAAGAAAAACCATTTTTCATCGACATTAAACATTTCGTTAGATAGCTCGCTCCCAGCACGAGATCTATGTACTCACTTGAAGCAATCGCTATTACTACATTTCAATTCTGAATTAAAACGTCATTGATCTTTTATATATGCAAGGAGCAAACACTTGTTTTCGTTAGTAATTTCTTAGATACGTTATTGAATTGCTTTCATTGTGCTTTTTTTTATGTTATTAGCGAAACTTTGTTGCTATACGATTTTAAAGCACGAGTAAACTTAGGTG